CAAATATATGATAGAATAACTAAAGAATTATCAACATATCCACTATATCTTTATTAAAATGACCTTTTCAGATTTATATAACAAATATACACAATATATAATTTGGTGAGAATATTACTGGCTATTCACCACAGAGATTTTGATTTATTGGGAAAACATTACTAAGTAGAAAAACAATGGGTTAATAGTTTCAAGCTCTTGACTCTTCAACTGATTGGCTTTATGATCTTAAGCAATTTAAGCAAACTAATCCCTTTCTCATCAACCAATTATGAGGTCTAATCAATCGTAGAAACTTTTTTAAGCTAAACATTCCTCTCCAAACCTTGTTTTCCTCCATATTTCTATCCCACAACCCACAAGAGAACTTCTGAATCATCTCTGATTCCTGTTCTTGAACCTTACTTGTGATATTTATCATCGATTTTGAGTCTTCTTCCTCTCAAATAGCAGCTGAATCACTCATCCATTACCTGACTTAGGTTCATCCTAGAGAATGAACCATTGCCAGTGACTCCTGCTTCCTTTGCTCTCTCTTCTCTATCCTATCCTTAATATTGTTCCTGGAGAAAACCTCCATTGGCTTTCTGTTGCCTAAACAGTCATGAGATACACATGCCACTACTTCCCTTTCCACAGACAAATTTATCAGGAAGACATTAGGGGCTGAATCTCAAAACACTTCAGAAAGAATCCATAAGTTACCCAATGCCAAATATGTAAAACTAACATATCAACTGTACTGCATCTACTACCTGTACGTAAAATTCAAATTTCTTAGGAAGGTTTTCATTATCCAGCCTAACCAAACTTTCACCAGTCTTCTCACAATTTGTATTCCAGCCTTAATGAATTTCCTGTCTTCCTGCAGTAAAGAGTACTATCTCTCATTTTATGATTGTGTATCTGTTGTATCTTCTACTGACATAACCTCCTCACTCATTTCTCTGTCTCTGAAACTCCTTTTTAGACTTCAAAATCCATCTGAAAAGTCAGTTCCACTTCTCTAGATAGGGAGTTAGCTCCTCTCTTGCTATTTCCTTTGCATATATTGGTCTCACTGTATTGTAAGTATTTTTCTGTCATCCTACCTTTCTGTAAACAGCAAATACCTCGTTCACATTTGCATTAGGTGTTCAAAACATTAAAAAAGGAAAACTAAATGAAATAAAAGTAAAATTTTAAACATGCAAGAATATAAAGCCCTATGTAGGTTATTGTTGGATGGTTCACATATATTCTGTATTAAAATATTATTTCTTACTGTTTCATATAGTTTTCTCTCAAAGACTATTAAGGGTTATTCTTTTTTTTCTTAAATAAGGTACCAAAAATGTAACAGTACTGATAAGGAGACAATTTTATTCTTAGTAAATAAAAATCTATAACCCATGATACAAAATGAGTCCACCTGTTTTCTCTTAGGTTTTTTTCCAACAAAACTTTGTATATAGCAACTGCATCTAACAATCTAAATTACTAAATTAGGATGCGACATCCAAAAGATAGAAATGTTCTCCCTACAGATACAAGTAATCATCTGGTATTTGTAATTTTTTGCATAAAGAAAAAAATACACACAAAAATTACAAAGAAAATGTGGACTGTTCACAAAGTAGTAGTAGCCTGTTAAATGAAACTAGAATCAGAAATTATGGAAAAATAACTTCAATTTTTTTTTTTTTTTTTGAGAGTGTCTCACTCACTCTGTTGCCCAGATTGGGGTGTAGTGTGTGATCAATCACAGCTCACTGTAGCCTTGACCTCCCAGGGTCAAGTGATCCTCCTGCGTCAGCCTCCCAAGTAGCTAGAACCAGAGGTGTATGCCATCATTCACATCTGGCTACTTTTAAAATTTTTTGTAGAGACAGGGTTCTCCCTACTGTTGCCCAGGCTCGTCTCAAACTCCTGGGTTCAAGTGATCCTCTTGCCTCAGCTTGCCAAAGTGCTGGGATACAGGCATGAACCTCTCTGCCTGGACTTCTTTTAAAGTTCTACTGATAATATTAATGAGTCCACCATTTTAAAAGAATTTTTCTCTTTCTTTGTAACAGATATGTCTAAAATAAAAACACAGGAGAAACAAGCAACAAATAATGACTACTGGCATAAAAAGAATAGGAATTTTTAATTCTTTTATGTATCACTGCTAAGATCTATATGAAAAAAATCATACTTCTTGTAAAATTTCTTTGAATCCTAAATCTCGGCTTGATGTCAATGAAACCTTGGAGAATTCCTGCCATACAATAAAATGATGATCTCAACACAGCTTTTCATCCTTATGCTCGGTATTCCTGATGTGTTTCAATAAACTCATCACTTTAGATAAAGTATACTGCTAAAAGTATAATGCTACACCAGGGATTGAAACAAGTTAGGAAAAAAACCAAGAGTTAAAAACTTATCTTAACAAATGCTTTAGGTTTCTATCCATTTGCTTTAATGTTAACATATTTTGCTTCCTGAATATCTTTAATAAGTTGAGAGTAAATACAACTTTACTCTTGTTAATACGGAGTAGATATGCCTATAAACATTCACAAATACTTCATTTTCTCACCAAAGACCCCTCTCATATGCAGAAAGCATTAATCTTTTACCATATTAAAGCTGGAGGGCAAAAACTGATTTGTGGAAAAATATAACAAAATTTGAGAATGTTTACTCAAATACAGGTGTTTCCAATTCCAATCTATGAGACAACCTAGAGCAAGGGAAGTACTTCTCACAGTAGTTTCTTAATTTTGAAATCACAAAGCATACAGGCAACTAAATAAATGTAAGCAAGAAATGGGCTGCAGATATGCCCAATCTCATGTATGTATCCAAGTATGTGTAATCAAGGGTAGAAGAAATAAAAATGTTGAGAAATGGAAGAAGACAGTCAATGTTATTCAATGAGTTTCAGAAAGGTATTTTTTAGTTGTCCTGCTATATAAATGAGATTTATAATCTTTTTCTTTTCAACTTCATTTCCTTCATTTTCATGAAACTTTGAAAAACACTGCCTTTCTATTTTAAGTTTTACAATTTAATGTGTTTAAAAAATTAACTTTAGAAAAATTAAGTCTTTTCAATGTTAACACTTCAAGTTTTAGAATTCTGATAAATTTCATTAGGAGATTTTTTTTCATGGTCATCTACACCTTTGTCAAAAACTAGGTGTATTAGTTCTCAGACTGCTAATAATAAAGACATACATGACCCTGGGTAATTTATAAGGAAAAAAAGGTTTAATGGACTCACAGTTCCACATGGCTGGGGAGGCCTCATAATCATGGCAGAAGGCAAAAGGCACAATTTACAGGGCAGCAGGCAAGAGAGAGCATGTGCAGAGGAATGCCCTTTTATAATACCATCAGATCTCGTGAGACTTACTATCATGAGAACAGCATAGGAAGAACCCACACCCATAATTCAATTACCCCCACTAGGTCTCTCCCATGACACGTGGGGATTATTACAATTCGAGGTAAGATTTGGGTGGGGACACAGAGCCAAACCGTATCACTAAGGAATCATCCAATATATATGTATTTATGCATGTTACCTGTGGCCACCAAACTCCTGAAGAAGAAAGAAGGGAAATACAGAGAGGAATAAACCAACTAGCCTTTTGTGATTACTGGATGCTTAATGTGTGCTATCTCATTTTCTTCAAAAAGAAATGTCATGTGGTTAGTATTGCTAATCCTGATTTTACAAAACAGGAAGTCTTTGAGCTTCTCGAGAATTCCAAGTGCTTTAAACATTTCCCATCCCTTTTCCCTACCATACAGTAATCTGTATACACCACCACTTGATGCAGTGCTTAAAACACAGTAAGCAAATAAAACAGGATGCCTAAATAAACCGAAGTTGTCTTTGCTGGCAGATTTTTTAAAAAGCACTGTTATGACACAACAAAGTAATAAAATCCAAAACTTCAATGTTGTTAAAAATATAGTATTTTTCATCTAGATTGGAAAGAATAGCCATGACTAACATTCATTCATCAAATATGTCACAGACCATAATCAAGTATTGTACATAAAACTTATGTACTTGCATAATCAATAGACCATGAGAAAGAAAACTGAATTCTAATTCTAGCTCAAGTGGGCTTCCCTAACATAGGCTCTAGTTTTCCTGTATATAAAATGAAGTTTGGCCTAGAGGAATTTTAAGATACTTAAAGGTCTACAGCTTTGGTTATATACTGTACTGGAGAATTTGGTTTAGACTCCTTCATTTGCATATGAATCTTAGTAACCAGGATACTAATCAAATTTTATAAAGATTACTAGAGGCATACTTTGAACTCTTATGACTCACTATGTTCAAGCACCACTATGAACTTAAATTTCAAACATTTTCATAAGACTCACACAAACATCTATATTTGCCCAAAATAGCGCATCCAAACTAATTTTATCTCATTCTAAGAACATTCAGATTAGATGCTTGAACCTTACCTTTTTCTTATCCTGTTACATTCTTGATCCTTCTAACTTCAAATCATAAATTATATTGTATGATCTGATTCACAAAACTTATTCTGATTTAGTCTGTTATGTTCCAAAAACGCATGTCGAACCACCCTAAATCTCCTCCGTCTGACATATCATTACTTACGGGGACCAATATGATGATAATCCCTTAATATTAAGTTGCTATTAATACCATAAGGCACTTTTTCTTCCCATTAAGATGCTGTAGGGGAAATATATAACTTTCACAAAAAAATCTAGTCAGAGATCATCAATGTAGAGTAAAACTAAGACTCTGAAATTCAACAGTAAAAAAGTAAATTATGATCTGTTAATGATACTTAATAGCAACAAATTATACTGTAATAGGAAATAATTAGCATAAAAGTAAAAAATAGTCATATAGTACAGCTTAAAATTTAATGTCTTTTAAAAGTCTTGATATTTACTGCCAGGAACAAATGTCAATTTAATAACATGTAGCTTTGTCTTGCCCTTTTCAATTCATCAGTATTTTAAAAAGGATACTCAGTACCAGAATAATGTGTGACTCTGCCACAAACTGAGCCTGGCTGCTTCCATGAATGTAGCTCTATTAAGAAAGACAAAAAAAAAAAAAAAAAAAAAAAAAAACCAAAAATTACAATTTGAGAAAGCCACATAATTGTTTTCAAGTTTTATGTCATGAAGATAAACAATGGAAAAATCTAATTAGATTTCTACTACTTCAATTTTTATTACTTTCTACTAATTAAGTCCCTATTAACAATTATTTTAAATAATTAGTTAAATGCAAATAGATGGCAATGTTGGTTGACGATACTGTAAACTGTAGGCGGCAACTTAGTTATCAAAAATAAATTTAAGTTGTTAAAGGATTTATCACAAACATTCACACATAAAATATAATGATCCCTATAGAGTTATTGCAAAACTACAATTAAAAGCATAACATATAAATTAGAACAAAACATTTTTATGATTTTTCATCCTTTAAAATAAGTTAGAAATGATCAAATATCTAATCCCTACTTTCTACATTATCAAAGTTTTTAAACTAAGGAGTCAGCTTTATAAATGTACACATTTCACTACAGCATTTAAATTTTTTCAAAACATAATTTTTAAAATTGTTTTTACCCTATTAAGTATATAGTTCATACCAGCTGATTATAGAAAATCTAACATAAATCTCCATTTAGATTATTTTGCTTCTAAATTGATTCCCATGACTATTTCTGCTGTTAATCTCTCTTATGAATATCAGTTGCTATGCAATCGTTTGAAATAAATGTCCTTGCCTTGGTTTTCTGTTTATAAACAAAATACTGGAGAAAAAAATCTAACACCTTATTAAATCAGTGCCTCAACTTTTACATCATTTATGATGCATAACTGTATCATACAATTCAGATAGTTTTCTCAAGGTATCTTTTTTTTTCTTCCATCTTGTTCAGAGGGTACATGTGCAGATTTGTTACATGGGTAAATTGCATGTTGCTAAGGTTTGGTGTACAAATGATTTTGTCACCCAGGTAGTGTGAGCAAAGTACCTGACAGGTAGTTCTCCAATCCTCACTTTCATCCCACCCTTCATCCTCAAGTAAGCCCCAGGGTCTACTGTTCCCCTCACTGTCTATGTGTACTCAATGTTTAGCTCCCACTTACAAGTGAGAAGATGGGGTATTTGGTTTTCTGTTACTGCATTAATCAGCTTAGCATCATGCCCTCCAGCTGCACCCATGTTGCTACAAAGGACAGGATTTCATTTTTATGGCTGTGTAGTAATCCATGGTGAATATGTACCACATTTTCTTTATCCAGTCCACTGTTGATTAACAATCACATAAAGTAGTTATTACCTGTCATCTTCCAAATGAGGAAACTGAGACAGAAATTTAACTAACTTGTTCAAGATTGTATAACTAGTAATTGGTGAAGTTTGGACTGAAACCTAGGAATGTTCATATAGGTATGCATGCCCTTTCCACCATATAAAAACAACTTAGCAAAACACAGGAGGAACCTCAAGTAAAACTGTAAAAACTTTACTTGGCAATCAGATAATTAAATGTTAACAATTAAAGTAATAAAAATCAACATTATGTAACTAACATATCCGAATTTAATCGTACAGGAATAATATGCCCAAATTTACATAACAACTGCAAGATAGTTTGTCTCCAAGAGAATCACAAATTTAGAGAATAACATCAGACATCTTCTAGGTAAGTGGTTTATAACCTTTTCTGTTTGCTTTCAGTAACAGAATCCTCTCTGATCAATCTTTTCTCAAGGTCATCAATGGAATTCCCCATTACCAAATTCTATGGTCATATCTCAATTTTATTGGATTTAACCTGCCTGAAAAATCTGCTGCATCTGACCACTCTCTTTTTGTAATGTTTGCTTCACTTGACTTGCAGGATCCCAATCTTGAGGATGATCCTACCTCATTAGGTCTTCCCCCTCAGAATGGAGGAGGCTGTTTCCTTACTACCTTCTAGACTCTGGAGCATGTCAGCGCTCCACAGGCTTAGGCCTATTCCCTCTACTCAGCCTTCCCAGGTGTTCTCATCCAATCTCATGGCTTTAATATCATGTCTGTATCTAGTCTGATATATTGGAAATCTAAAAACGGCTAAAATGAAACTCCTGATATGCCTCCATTTCTATCCCAGAATCTGCTTCTCTCCCATTCTCCCCTAACTCAGGAGAAGGTAATGAAATTTTTCCAGTTGTTTACGCAAAAATCCTGGAATTACCTTTGTGTCTCTGCCCTTAATTTTCTTTCGCCCTTTTCCTCGCCTTTATTCTCTCCTTCCTCCCTCCCTCCCTCTCCACAAAGACAATCATTAGAAAATCTGTTGGCTCTACTTTCAAAATTCATTCCAAATTCAACTGCTTTTCACCATTCCCAGGAAGAACTAGCAAAGGAACCTAAAAAATAAGGTCCAAAGATTTCTGGTCCAAGCAGTCATCATCTCTTGCCTAGACTACTGCAATAGCCTCCCTTTATTCTCCGCACCTCTACCCTAGAGCTGGTTTGTCATTCAGATAAGTACTGTCAAAACTATCCCATCATTACCTTGCTCAGAACCCTTCGATGCTTTCTCAAATGTGTGAAAAACACTGTATCATGCAATGCCTTTTGTGTTTCCAGGCACAGTAACAAGAAACCTACATACTTCATTTTTAAAATACAGCTAAGTTAAAAAAAAAAAAATCACACTTTGTCCTTAGAGACTTATTTCATGAAACTGATCTGTAACACTTGTACCATATTTCTTGTATATATAAGGCAGGAAAGAGGAAAGGCTTTGGACACAGTCCTGAACTTGCCACCTACTAGCTATATTATTCTAAACAAAGTACTTAACCTCATTTAACTTTAAAATAGGATTAGGAGGATATTCCTCAAGATATTTTCCTAAAAATCAAATAAGACAGTATGATACACAATAGTGTAATGATCAAAAGTAATCAAACATAAATCATTTTATAGTCTCCACTTCAACAAACTTTATCTTGTTCAACAAAAGGCTGAGAAGCTGTTTTTATCTTCTAAACAAATAGCATTCAGGAATTCTTTCTTTTTTATAAATGAATTTAGTGTGTTGAACTGATATTTTAAAAGATAATATTCACGAATGTATACTAACATTTGACTTTTGTACATCTTTTTTTTTTTTCCTTCAAAATCACATCAAGACCAGGTACTCTAAGAGCCTTCAGGATTTAATAAGCTTGAATTTGTTTGCAATTTTTAATTGATCAATTAGTATGTATCAGGCACCAACTCAAGCAACAGAAATCCAGCAGTTATAGGAAAAAATATCTATGTTCTCAAGGAGCTTACATACACAAACTACATGAAGACATTTTGTCTACTAATGTGAAACAAAGAGATTATTAGCACACATCAGAAGCTGTTAAGAGTAAGCACAAGAATAAGAATGAATAAGTATTGCAGAGATCTTAAGCACTGACCTTAGATAGTTAGCTTTCAATTATGGGGCCCTTAAAGCAATAACCTAATTCACTTAAGGTCTGCAATTTTAAGCTGATCTTAAAATTTTTTATGTAACAGAAGCATATACTTTCAAAATCCTTTGAAAAAGGGAATATTGAGTAATGAATTCCCTTAAAGCTAAATCATGATGTTCATTTATTTTCCTGATTTTTAACTAATTCTCATGAGTGAGGGAAATATCAGCAACTCAGGATAATTTATTCCAAAATATGTATTTAACTTGTATTTATAAAAGCATTGCATTTTCGGATCAGATGAATAGTCAAGAAAAAAATGTGTGCAGTCTTAAGGATACAAATCAATTCTTTCACAGGAAATGTTTTGACAAGCCATTAATATAAGTGTTTTTTAACTTGTCCATTGAATATTTCTTTTTTTGATGCAGATTTTCACTCTTGTTGCCCAGGCTGGATAGCAGTGGCCATGATCTCTGCGTATTAAAACCTCCATCTCGCAGGTTCAAGCCATTCTCCTGCCTCAGCCTCCTGAGTGGCTGGGATTACACGTGTGCATCACCATATCCAGCTAATTTTTGTATTCTTAGTATTGATGGGGTTTCCACTTGTTAGCCAGGTTGATCTCAAACTCCTCACCTTAGGTGATGCTCACTTCGGCCTCCCAAATTACTGGGATTACAGGCGTGAGCCACCACGCGCAGCCCCACTAAGTATTTCATAGAACATATGTGAACCAACATAAAATAAAAAGAATGGTTCATAAAAATACGTTCATAAGACATTTACCATGACCCGTGACTTAAAGCCCAATTTTATGTAGAAGAAATATTAGATGAAGTTTGCATATCATAATATGAAAAAATAATATATATGAATGATACTATATTCTTAATTTCAAGTAACATACTTGAAAAATATTTTGTTTGATATAGTAGTTCTATAACTCTTATGTAGCAATATCAAGGATGAATGAAAATAAAATGGAAACAAAGCTAAATATACTGTATATCTGCATGTGAAATAAACCTGATTCCACTTAAGTTATTCCTAAATTCTTGGGAAGATGACACCAGTCAGTATGTTCTGCTTTTTCAATGTTATTTTAAAATTGTGCTAGTAGTAAATACTCCTTAAAGAGTCCTTTTAAACACTTGCTGTTCTGAAAATAAGAATGGCTAGAGTGTACCAACAGGTTGTTACTTGAGAAGGTAGCTGTGGTAACAAAAACAAACAGAACTTAGAAGTCAGTTTCCAGTGCTAATAATGGCCATTCAATTTAAAAAAAATAGGTGTTACTTCATCATTTAGTAATTTGGGCCTCAGTTGCCTTATCCGCAAATTGGAAATTGACTGCATAAAGGTAACAGTGTAGTATTATAAGTTTATAAAATGGATTTTAGTCAAATTCCCTTAAGTAATTTCTCTATCCTAGGTTTGCCACAACTGAGACCTCAAACAAATTATTCTAAACTTCAGATTGTTAAGCTCTTTGATCGAAATAATAAAATGTGAGAAGTCAATTGATAATACATGTAAAATAGCCTAATGCCTGAAACACACTAGTAAGTCAACAAATGTAATCTATCATCGTCATCATTAATC